GACCTTAAATGTTACCATTATAATTGTTTTTGCAGTCATTTCAGGTATGTTTTTCTACTTAGTCTAAGTCATTAACAGGGTTTACCACATTGAGCCAGACTAAATGAGAGATGAAGATTACTATGTTTGAGTGTGGGTACCAGGGTCTGTATAGAGAGATCAGAGGCCAACTGTGGGGAGTTATTTCTCTCCACCTTTACATGGCTCCAGGGACCAAACGAAGGATGTCAGACTTGAGCCGTCTTGTTGCCCAAGATACGGGTCTTTGACACAGGCGTTCAAGTCCTCTGAGTTTTATGAATGTGACCGGACTACAAGTTCACTATATCCTTACTATGAAACAACATATCTATTGATTCATCTACATCTAAGATATGCAATCTGGTACATGAATGGCCAGGTCCAACATTTATCCCTTCCATGGCTGTATTTAGTGAGCCACGGTATAGCACTAGGGTTGTTTTGCTGGGCACTAAGAATACAAATAGGACTTGGGTCCTCTTGGACTCATTAACATCACCGTGTTATAGGTCTCATTCCTCAGACCTACAAGCAGCCTTATGATTGGCTCTGTGCTCTTTCGCACACTTTTCCTTGCCCATCTCTCATAGCAATGCAGAGCTCCTTACAAATATCTTTTCATTCCTATCCCAGGCCTCTTACACATGCAACCTCTTCTAGAAAGCACTGCTCTCAAGTCTTCTCCTCATCCCCACTTCCTCCTCATCCTGCTTTACCCTTCTCCAGAGCACTGCTCACCACCTCAAGTATTTTATCTTTGCTTAGGTTTTATTTTCTTTCTCTCCTGGTGGGGCTGGCAGAGGAAGTTTATCTTTCGTAACAACACCTTCCCGGAACCTGCAACAAGCCAGCACATCACGGATGCTTCAATGTATCAGAGGATGGATGGATGGATGGATGGATGGATGGATGGATGGATGGGCTAGCTCTTGACAGTATCAGGTGCTTGGCAAGCTGAGCTTTGCACCAGGAGTCAGCAAGGCTCCTGTCAAGGGCTGGTGGAGGCAGGTGCTAGGGCCCTGAGGGCCTTCTGTTGATGAGGAGCTCAGATGGGAAAAGATGGCAGTGGCCTAGGTGAGAAATAACAAGGATTTCTCAAGTCTCCTTCCACCTCCATTCAACCTCAAGCCTTACTGTGTCCCTCTCAAGTCTTCTTCCACCTCCATTCAACCTCAAGCCTTACTGTGGCTTACCCTTCGCTGAGGCGCCCACATCTGATCACTTTCAGGTTTTGGTGACAATGCAGCCTCGTTGATGCCAGGTCCCTTTTCTATCCATTCTTGAAACCACCACCAGTTCAGATCCTTGTTATTTCTCACCTAGGCCACTGCCATCTTTTCCCATTTGAGCTCCCCGTCAACAGAAGGCCCTCAGGGCCCTACCACCTGCCTCCACCAGCCCTTCCTTGTCATGACTTGGCTTTAACTCTTTACTTCAGTAGGGATGGATTTTTTTTCCTATGTTCTAAATTCTTGACTATGGGTGCCCTCTGTTCAGGCTCTTTCCCCCTCCTGGAAACACCCCCCGTCTTCTAATATAGAAGTCATTCAGACCTAGCTCCGGTGCCCTAGCTTCATGCAACCACCTTGGTTCTCATGAAGAAGACATCCGCCTCCTTCCAAACTCTTTCAGTGGGCTCTTTGTTTCGCTCGTCCCCTGGAGTCTTTGTAGTCTTCAGTCTGAACTGCCCCACCTGCTTAATGGAGCTGATGGTGTTATCAGCCCCCCTGGTATGCGGTGTAGAGTGAACACGGGTGACCAGGAATAAGGAAAGCCTATACACAACATGTAAAGACTAATTGTTAAATCACTCCAATAACCGCAAACCAGCTCCACCAGGGTGTTGACATGGACGGCTTACGCGGGCTGAGCACTGAATCGAGGCATAGGTGGGCGGGAAGAGACTAGCTTTAGGGAGAAAGGTTGTGAAGACCTAAAAGTCCCACATCCTCAAAGGGTCTCAAGATGGGAAGAGGTACGAGGCTTTTCTGCCAAGCTAAGGCGCTAATGTTGTGAGTATCGATCAAGTCCGGAATCGTCCCTCTGTCCTGGGAACTCTGCTCAGTAGCCTCTATGTATTATCCTTTTAAGTCAGGAAACATTCCCTCACACAGTAAAAGGAGAGGAAACCAGGCCCAGAGTAGTTACATAAATAAATGCCCCCCCTCCCAGCTCTTCCCAACAAATAGTTCAGCCTTGAAATCTATCCTGAATATTGGAGAATTTTTCTCAAGGAGCAAGCTTTGCAGAGAGGTCACAAGGAGCTTCTGAGCTGCACAGTGCTGAGGAGCTGGACGTGGGACCCAGGCCTCCCACTCTCAGGGTGGCAGCTCCTGTATACCCCAAACCTACGGGCCATTGCTCTTTATGAAGTCTGTATAAACAGTGCGTTTTAGAAGGAGGATGCCATCTACATAGACTACAATGTCAATGGTGGCCTCCTGGAGTTGATCACCTTAGCCTTGTTCCATGCTAGCCTGCTCACCTCACTCAAGGGAGCTCCATCTTGAGATAGCCTCACGCCCCTAGAGACTGAACTTGGTTCTCCTATCCCATCTGAATGCTCCAAGGTGAGCATTCAACTTCACCCTGTTTCCATCCAGCTTCATCCTGTTTCCATCCAGTTGTACTTGTACTCCCTGGGCCCACCTCTCGGGGCACCCTCGGTCACCAGACAGCCTACTCTGCCTGGGGACACCCAGCTGCCTTTGAGGGAGCTCAATGTAGCTGTAACTCAAGCCTCCCCAGAAGTTTTCTCAGCGGTACCAAGAGGCTGCACTTAATAAATGGCAAGAAGGAGGAGGAGGCATGGGGCGGGGGTGGGGGTGGGTCGGGGGTTGAGGGTGGGGGGAGACCTGGGGACCTCCACAAAGGCCATGTTGGATGAGAAGAGGTGGATGCTTAAGGAGGGCAGAGCGACTGACTGCGGAGGGCATACAGTCAGCTCAAAGTTGGGTAAGAAGATGAAGCCTGGAATACCACATCACCTAGTTCAACTGAGGACCCCTCAGGCTTAGTGACTTCTGGAAGGCCCGGGACTAACACCCTGGAATCTAATTTCTGCTTTATTTTCCTCAATTACCTTTCAACCCATGGAGTGCTTACAAAACAGGGCCCTCTTTGAGGTGGAATGAAGCAAACTAAAGCACCCACTCCCAATTTTTCAAAATAGTAAGGATAGCAGGAAATGACTGGAATCTTCAGCTTCAGTTGGGGGAAGGGCCAGCATTGCCAAGATTCACCTGGCATACTCACGTGAATATCTGGGCTCTGGGCTTTGTAGGGATTGGATCTGACTGTGTAGGGGAATGAGTATAAAAACCAAGCACCCCAGATTCTGATGCAGGTTTTGTTACTAACTCTCTGGTGACCTTGGCTATGCCACGTCGTCGGACCTCAGTTTCCCTGTCTGCAAAATGAAGCTGGAAATGAGTTCTTGGGCGCTAAGATCCTACTCCTCTCTCTAAATTGCTCCTTAATGAGGATTCTGACCTGAGCTTTGCAGGAGCCTGGGCCTCCTCCAGGAAAAAAAAGCAATATGTCGGGGGAGGGGAATAAACCGGATTCTATTTTGGAAACGGGTGGCGGATGGCTAAAGAGTCGGGGGAAGGTACAGTTTGGTAATTAGCAGGCTAGTTCCCATTTCCATCTCCCTTCTTGGGGGTTCAGATTCTGGAGAGGCGCTACAGCCTAGAGCTGCACACCAGGTTGGGCCGCAGAGGCTCGGACCTGGACCACTATCTGGATCCCTCCCTGGAACCACGCAAGAGCGCAGAGCGCGGGGAGTGGCGGCCGCTCCCTCCGTGGTCCCCAGGGCCAACCTCCCTCCCTTGCTTGGGGACCCCACTTCCAGTCTTCCGGGCGCCCCACGGGGGGCGTGGCGGGGGCGGGCGCGGGCTCCTGGGTCCCGAGGGTTGGAGGTGTCAGTTTTGCTACCGCCCCAGAGGGGACCCCTTACCAGTGCCTCCCGGCTTCTTACACAAAGGCACCCACCAAGGCGCCGCACTTACCGGCCAGAACAGGCTCCAGGCACCGGCGAGCGGACAGGCAGGCTGGCGGGAGGATGTGCGCGCGCGAGTGTGTGCGTGTCTGCGTGTGCCCCTATCTGTGTGTGACAGGGGCCGTGAGGCGCTCGGTGCGTCTGCGTGTGCGGGGGCGTCCGTCTGTCGGTCTGTCCGCGGAGCCCTCAGTCCCGCGCTTCTTGCGCGTTCACCGCCCAATCGCCCCACCAAATGCGCCTAGACTGCGGAGTCGCGGGCATAGCTGCCGGGTCTGCTTGGCACCCCCAGCCCCGGCTCCGCCCCGCCCCCGGACGAGTTTGCGCCGCTCCCCGGGAATTGCGCAGGGCTCGCCCGCTTGGCGGGGTGGGGGTGGGGAGCTCCGGCATCGCCTAAGGCTCTAGGGGCGCGCACCACAGACCCTTAACCTCGGATTCCATCTCCGGCGCCCCCTCACCCGCAGCAACTCTGCGCGGAGTCCCCACAAGCGCCGCCCCCATGCCAAGGTTGCCTGGACTGAGAGGGCGGGGGAGTGGGAGCACCGCATCCGTTTCATTCATGATTTTCTTCTCCCGGGAGCCCCGGGTCGGGGCTGAGCGACTACGGCAACCGCCAGAGGGACCCCACTAGGGTTGTGCACATTGAATCTGGAGCGGGATGGACAGACAGATAGATGAGGGTAGAGGCAAGCTAGACAAAGGGTCAGAGCTGGGATGGGGGTGTGCATGCACGGGGGTGGGTGCTATAGGGCTCCTTGCAGGATGTCGACACCTGCACTCGCTGAGACACCACATACCCGGGCGCTCAGGACCTGTTCTAGGACTCTGAGGAGGCGCCTGACTTCCCACTCCTTCCTTTTCTGTCTTTGTAGAGCAAGAGCGGGTGGACACCTTTCTCCACCAGGGTTAGCAGGGCAGGCACCATCTGCTTTGCTTCCAGGGTTCCAAGGGCTGCCCTGGTGCGGCATATTTCCAATCTTACCTTCTCCGGGGCTGGTTCCTGACATCTCGAGAACCCCACTGGATGCTGTAGGAGGCAGTGGACTGCACATGCAGTAGTTTTACATGGCGAAAGCAAGAGACAGCATGCGGCTACTGAAGAGAATGAGTCCAGTCACCGTTCTCTGTAGCTTGAGTTTCTGCAGTAGCCTCCCTACTAGTCTGTCATCCTTGGCCACCTGCAGCTGGTTCTCTACAGAGCAGTCAGAGCGATCCTTTTGAAACATGTACCAGGCTGTCCTTTGTCGGAACTCCCGCAGTGACTGCCCATTGCATCCAAGGGATAAGCTTATTATAGCCTGGGAGGGTCTTCAAGAGCAGGCATCCTTTTTATGGTCTAACTTCATTTCCTACCTTCCACTCCTTCCTCCCAATCTGGGACCATAACCAAGATGGCAGCCACGCAGGCACCAGGACCTTTGAATTGTTAGTCTTTCTCCTCCACAAAACCACATAGGTTTCTTGCTTCCTCCTTTTACCTGTTTAATGTGCTACTTCAATGACGTCTTTGGTGATTATCCTATTTAGGATTCCAGGCCTGCTCCCGTATTTCCCTATAGTGGTTATAACCTTTATTTTGTGTACCTGAAGGCACTCCAGTTCCTTATGCCAGCTGCCACTTAACTGCTGCCGTGCGGTTCGCAGCTGTCACTAAACAACAGGCCATTGACCATGCTGTTCTTTAGCCTGGAATGCACCTCCTCCCCCCAACCGGCTTTGCTCAATTTTCAACATCACTTATCACCTCCTCCTTGGACCCTCTCTGGCCATCTTCAGTTCATTCTCTAGGTGGCCATCTGTGTGAAATGTTGCATTGGTCCTTTATTCGGCTGCCTACAACTGCTCCCGGTTTCCTCCAACCAGGATAGCTAAAGTGGTGTTTCCAGGGACACTCAGCTTCTTTACCTTCTGTCTGCTTTAGACATTCAGAAAGTGACTTTGTTCTGCCTGATTGCCACACAGAAAGGCCCATCAGTCTGTGTCTGAAGGTCAAGAGCATTGATCAGAAGGCCATACACTGGGCCTTGATTGATCTTTTTCCTTTTGCCTATGAGGGACACAGAGACAAGCTGCATACCATCTAGGGATTTTCTTTCCAGGCCGTGGAGGTGGGAAGAAGGAATCAGTGTCAGACAATACTCCAGGACAAACTTCCCAGCTGCCTGGGAGTGTGGGTGGGACGCTGAAGGACGTGCTACCCCTCCCTGAGTGTAATGGCGGGCGCCGTGGTGGACTGTCCGGACCAGCTTCCCCAGGCATTGTCAGTGTGAACTAGCAGCTGTTGGGTGCCTGCTATATATGCGGCAGTGCCTTGTTTGTCCCTGGTGTTTAATCTTTGCGGCTACTTAGGTGAGTGATAGATATTTTTGATATACCACTAGTCAGGAGGAACCAGATGGAATACATAACTAATTAATTAATGCCACTCGAGAGGTGTGGTCTTCCAATGAAGCTTGTTCCAAAGTCCACACTCACAGGGCAGAGAGCAAAGTCTCTGGGGGTGGTGGCTGATGGGAGAGAAAAGAGCTCCACTGCAGGTCAGCCAAGCCAGGGTCCATGTCCTATAAGCCCAGGAATCCCAGAGGAGCACCCGGCTGGACCTGCAGGGTTTCTGGCAGTGCTGCCTATGGCATGCTGTGGGGGCAGCAGCGGCAGGAGGGGGTGAGGGTGGTTCTTGTCTTTTCAGAGGGCCAGTGGGGGAGGTTAGGGAGCTGCCCCCTGAACTCACTGTGTACAGAGCCCATTTCCAACTGTCATTGTGGCTAGTGATGCCTGTCTCAAAGAGAGAAGCAAAGAAGACCCATGAAGATCCCTTTAAAAGTAGTAGGGGCTCAGGGTCTAGGAGCACACAGTGCTCTTGCGAAGGATCGAGTTCAGTTCCCAGCTCACAGCCACTGTAACTCCAGCTCCAGGAGATCCAATATGGTCTTCTGGTTTCCACAGGCACCTATACTCACATGACATACATTCATGCCAACATAAACATAATTAAAAATAAACTAAAGGTAAAAAAGTAATCACGGCTCGAATGCTTTTCCTCCTTTGTTTCTTGCTGGGGTCTCTATTGAGTAGGGATACATCTCAACCAGCTTGTCTAGTGTCTGCCATATCCACCCCTACGAAGGCTTTTGAATTTTCATGGCCCTCTGCGGGTTACTTTGGTACAGTCAACATTCATGGAAGGATTTGAAAATAATACGTTCCTGCCCTGAATTCTATACTTTCGTTTACACAAGCACCTTGGGAGGTACTGTTACTGCCAGTCAGGAATTACAGGCACTGAGGGGTTCAGGGACTTTCATGTCACCACAGAGCTCAGTCATTCACGACCGCTGGCAGAGCCACCATTCCCTCCTGACCCTCCATCACCATCAGCATGGAAAGTGACCTCATCTGTTGTCTCCCTCTTTTCTGACGGGGAGGAAGGGCAGTTCTCTGAGGTCCTTGGCGCTGAAGCTGTTAGGAGGTTGGAGGAGTTAGGGGGCTGGTGCGTCATTTACACTCTCTTGAGTGAGGAAGAAGGGTTTGGGAAAGAGGAAGAGAGAGGAGAGGAAGGAGAGGATGCCGAGATGGTTGGAGAGAAAGCAGGATGTCGTTTAGTGGCTTTTGATGGGCTCTTGGGAATCAGGATCAATATCTTTTGCTTTTGGCCTCACTTGCAGTTCCGCCCGTTGGTAATGAAATGTTTTGCTTTTTTGTAAATGTTCTCCTGTCCAGATTTTTTATTTGTTTGCTTACTTACTTATAACCTACCCCAAGCCACAAAGGGTCTGAGGTGGCTTACCACAGAAGCAGAAACCATAAACAATGCTAAAATATCAATAAGGATAAAGAGCCAGGACCAAGGAAAATGTAAAAAAAATGTTGAGAGACCAAAGCGAGGCTCAATAATTACAGTTGATTTTATTGAGTTCTTCCTGTGTGCGAAGGAATTCACCTGTGTTAGCTCACTAAATTCTGAAAAGAGCCCTGTGACGTAGGTACTATTAATATCTCCAGTCTGAAGCAGGGAACTGAGGCTCAGAGGAACGGAACACCACCCACAAAGGCATGAACCTTGTAAGGGGTAGAGCCAGTGTTTGAAGACAGTTTGGTACAGGGATGCTTGCTCTCGGCCACTGCGCTTCTCTAAGGGAAAAGGACCTTGAGTACATCCTCAGGGACCTCTAGGGTGCTGTGATGAGGCTCGGATTTCGGTTTGATCACTTTGGAAGCTAAAAAGAAAGAGCAGCCACTGTGTAGGTACCGCTCATCTCGCTAGAGAAGCAGAAGCTTCGTTTTCTCAGTGAGGTGACCCTCCGCGACTGTCTCTCTATTGAGTCCTTCCTGCTCCGTTTGGCTGTTCTGATCTGCTATATTTTTTCTTTTATGTTGGTTAATTTTACCTTCTAACACACTACATAACTTGTTTATAAACTATAGTGTAATAGTACACATCTCAGATATTTCTTATGAGATTCTATAATATGTTCTAGATGAGTAAATTTATGAATTAGATAATTTAATAGTTACTACTAAATTTTGTAATTTTTATTATTTATAATTATATATGTGTGTATGTGTATAGAATGTCTATAATTATGTGTCTATATGGGTATGAGAACCTGTGCCTTCCTCCCTGAGGAGGCCAGAGGTATTGGATCCTACTGGGGTTGCCTTGTGAGCTTGCTTGGAACTTCTCAGGTCCTCGTAAAAATAGCACACACCCTTAACTGTTGAACTATCTCTCCAGCCCCCAATAAAGTCAAGACTGTATGTCTGTCTTCTCTCACTGGAATATAAGATTCAGGTAGGCAGGCATCTTTATCTGTTTGTATTATTGATATGCTCTAGGTGTTTGGTTGTCTGACATACACGAGGTGCTTCATGAACGTTCGCTGAGTGGCACTGGGGAAGAAATAGACCCAGTAGACCTGATTGCCAATGTATACTGCTTTTGTAGTTTGTACCTCTTTCCTGTTCCCATCAATTCCCTCCCTTCTGTAAAGGGTTTGAGGTGGCTCCAGCTCTCAGGCCTGAGAACAGGGCTTCAGGACCGTTCTGAAGACAGACTTCTGAGGGTTTGTGTAGTCAGTGCCCTTAGCATCATTATCACATAGGTCACTGTTTAAAGCTCCTACAAAGCAAATGGGTGAATGAAATTCACGTCATTTGGATGGGGTCTCTTAATAAAAGTTAGGTGTTATCCAGACATCAAAACCAACAAAGGCGATCCTTTGAGGGGGCCATACATGTCCTGCTGCTATAACCTTAAGGATTTGGGGTTAGGCCTGGCACTGTGATAGTGGAGACAGCAAAATAAAAAGCACAGCTTTTATGTGAATCAGTTGGTTTCCAGGGAGAGAAATCCTCCGGGAGTTGTATTTCTTGGCTACAAGCCTGAAGGGTGAAAAGACGACTAAGGTCATTCTCAAGCTTTCTCAGAGGATAGCCTTAGCGGAGGACAGATCGTCGTGGTGTATAGGACAGCCTTAGTGGAGGACAGATCATCGTGGTGTGTAGGGCAGCCTTAGCGGAGGACAGATCATCGTGGTGTGTAGGGCAGCCTTAGCGGAGGACAGATCATCGTGGTGTATAGGGCAGCCTTAGCGGAGGACAGATCGTCGTGGTGTGTAGGGCAGCCTTAGCGGAGGACAGATCATCGTGGTGTGTAGGGCAGCCTTAGCGGAGGACAGATCGTCGTGGTGTGTAGGGCAGCCTTAGCGGAGGACAGATCATTGTGGTGTATAGGGCAGCCTTAGCAGAGGACAGATCATCGTGTATATAATTGAAGTGTGTCTGCTATGATCTCCCTCCCTGGTCCCTACAGATTAGGTAGAGAGAGCTTTGGGGAATGGCAGGCACCAGCCTGTCAAAGTGAAGGGTAAGGTTACTTGGCTTCTGATCTCAGAATGTAACATCAGAAATACTTACTCACAGCCAGGCATGGTAATTCTAGCACCCTGGCAGTAGAGACAGGGTCATTGGGAATTCAAGGTCAGCATTGGCTGCACAGCAGGTTCTGGGCTAACATGGGCTATTCAAGACCCTGTCTAAAAACAAAAAAAGTTAAAAATAAAATAAAAATTAAAAACCTGCTCAAGTAAGTGAGAATTGAAGCTGTTTGCCTTATATTTATTGTTTGGGGTTTCTTGCAAACTGTAGGAATTACTAGATGCTTTATCGTGGATCTACTCTGAGGGCCCTACCCATCACAGGCCTGGTGTGTATTAAAGAACAACCAGGTTACCTGCTTTTAGACAACTTACATTCCAGTGGAAGAAATGCTCTGGCAATGGACCAGGTTAAAATAACAAATAGCAGGCTAATTCAGGCTATGCCAAGTGAATAGCAGGTTGATTCAGACTGTGTCAAGTGCAAAGGAGAGAGAGAAAAGAGGCTGGCCATGGAGAGGATGAGACTGGAGCTGGAGAGGCACGGTTCTCAACTAGGTATGAAGAGAAGAGTCTCTAAGAAGAGCCCATCCAAGCTGCAAGAGGAAGTGGCATTCCGAGAGCAAAGGGCAGACCTCTTTCTACCAGGAATACGAAGGAGAGGAATGCATGAGCTGGAATGTGGAGGGATGTTGGAAAGTATTTGAATTTTATA